GATTATTTGTTGTCTCTGAGAATTGTTCAATACAAAACAATGAACAGCTGTACACCCATCTTAGCTCTGGTGATTCACTGTTGCTGCTACTGCTGTTGTTGCCATTGTTGTTGTTATTATTTAGTATGTTCCATAACTGCAAATATATATATATATATATATATATATTAAATCCTTACCCAATGATATGTGTTTATTGACTTTAGAGAGAGAGGGAGGGAGAGAGAGAGAGAAACATCAATCAGTTGCCAGGGATCAAAGACTCTCCAACCAACTGAGCCACCTGCCAGGGCTGGCCTTGTAAGAGAAGGCTTAAGAGATAAACGTAATATGAAGAAAGTTTTATGAGTTGTTTTGTTTTGGTTTGTTTTTTAAAGGAACAACCACTGATACTGACTGATAGCTGGATGGTTGGACTGTGAAATCTTCCAGGTTAGTAGTAGCTTATAAATACTATTATTTTTAACATCCATTTTACAATGGAAGAGGAGACCATCCAGTGCAGTTCATTTTAACAAGTATTCATCGCTCTTTCCTCTTCCTTGAACTTGGTATAGACCAGTGATGGCGAACCTTTTGAGCTCAGCGTGTCAGCATTTTGAAAAATCCTAACTTAACTCTGGTGCCGTGTCACATATAGAACTTTTTTGATATTTGCAACCATAGTAAAACGAAGACTTATATTTTTGATACGTATTTTATATATTTAAATGCCATTTAACAAAAATCAACCAAAAAAATGAGTTCGTGTGTCATCTCTGACACGCGTGTCATAGGTTTGCCATCACTGGTATAGACACTGTTTTTAACTGGCTAATTCTTACTTGACCCTTAAAGCCCAGCTCAGGCATCACTACCTGTTTTGTAGCCTGTGTCTCTCTTCCTCTCTGTACTGTAAGTCTCCCAAGTTCAGACACTTTGTCTCATTCAGCATTGAATATCTTGCGCCTGCTCATGTGGCAGCACATAGTAGGGATTCAGCAAATTTGTAAAATGGTGATGATAACGGTATGTACAGCATAAAGTTGTTAGGAGGATTAAATTGGTTAAAATTTTTAAAACAGAATAGTGCCTGATGCAGAGTAAACATGAGTGCTTATTATATTAGCTAATTAATAGTTCTACAAAGCTTGTTCCAAAAAAATTGCACTCCCCTGGACCCCTTCCCATTCCCCACAAACAATACTTTCACTTTCTTAACGGATTATTTTAGTATTTGATTTCCTTTTTACGTCTAAATTCCATGCTGCTCCGCTCCTTGATTTTTCGGTGTTAGGCTTTATCGAGTTCTCACTAGGAAAGGTGAGGACAGGGCTCTCTCTCATACGCACACACTTCCCATGTCCCACCCTCCCAATGTGTTTCTGTTGTGGGCTCATTAATCAGCTTTATTGTACCATCAGTACCATTGCCATGAGCCACTGAGTGTACTACGGTTATTTTTCTTTTCTTGCAAAACTATTTGCTATCCCTGGAACCAAGTCTCTCTCTTTGTTAATCTGCCTGTTTTCTCCCCCCCTTTTTTTTCTTATGTACTTATCATAATTTATCTCCAAATTCCACTTGGTTGCATAAATCTCCTCCCAGTACATTCAGGCACTTTACAATTCAAGCACGTCAAACTTAAACAAGGCATGCGGCCCGTAGGCCGCGAGTTTGACATGCTTGCATCGTCAGTCAGCCTCACCTGACCTGCTTCCCTCTGGGCGGTTGGTTTCTAGCTGTTTATGTCATCCTGGGGATTCCCGTCTTCATTCTCTAGATCACACTGGCTTTTAACCTGTTTCCATTTGTGTCTTTATGGTTCATCCACAGAGCGATGAGCAAGTCGAAAGCAATGCAGAAAAAAACAGCCCCTCACCTTCTGACCAATCTGGAGGAATCCTTGTCCAAGAACTGGGAGAACGTTCGGAATGAAGCCTGCACATGGGCTTAATCTAAAACAGAAACAGGACAAACAAAAAATAATACTGCAGCACATCTAGTCATTCCCAGTCCGTGGGAAAAAGAATATTAAAGTTCACTCCTACCCTGGGCCAAAGTCAAGATGTAAAGTGAAGTTAATTCACCTTCATTCATTCATTCATTTATTCATGCATGCATTTACTAATTTTTTCATTCACTTGTTTATTAATGACACCATGGAATATATATTATTATTATGTAACATAGTAATCATAGGAGACATCATTTTATTGAGCACCTATTATGTGCTGAGTGCTCTGTTAAAGTGTTTTTAAATATTATCTCTGTTACTCCTCCTGTGCCTGCCCCCCCCCCCCC